TTGGGTGCCCCTCTGGGGTCCTTTGGGTGCCCATTTGGGATGGGTGGGGTCCCTACCCGACCAATGGGTGCGTTGGGTGCCCCTCTGGGGTCCTTTGGGTGCCCATTTGGGATGGGTGAGGTCCCTACCCGACCAATGGGTGCGTTGGGTGCCCCTCTGGGGTCCTTTGGGTGCCCATTTGGGATGGGTGGGGTCCCTACCCAACCAAGGGGTGCATTGGGTGCCCCGTGGGGTCCTTGGAGCAGCCATCTATGATGCCTGGGGTGCCTGTCCAATTGGGGTGCCTATTTGGGGGTACACTGGGTGCCCCATGGGATCTTTGTGGCACCCATCCAGGATGCCCAAGGTTCCCACCCAATTGAGGTCCTTACCTGGGGTGTGCCTGGTGCTCACCTGGGGTCCTTTGGGTGCCCATTTGGGATGGGTGGGGTTCCTACCCAACCAAGGGGTGCATTGGGTGCCCCTCTGGGGTCCTTTGGGTGCCCATTTGGGATGGGTGGGGTCCCTACCTGACGAAGAGATGTGTTGGGTGCCCCTTTAGGGTCCTTGGAGCACCCAGCCAGGGTGCCCATGCAATCAAGGTCCCTACTTGGGGTGCGCCTGGTGCCCCTCTGGGGTCCTTTGGGTGCCCACTTGGGATGGATGGGGTCCCTACCCAACCAAAGGGTGCATTGGGTGCCCATCTGGGATCCTTCTGGCACCCATCCAGGATGCCCAAGGTTCCCACCCAATTGAGGTCCTTACCTGGGGTGTGCCTGGTGTCCCTCTGGGGTCCTTTGGGTGCCCACCTGGGATGGGTGGGGTCCCTACCCAACCAAGGGGTGCATTGGGTGCCCCGTGGGGTCCTTGGAGCAGCCATCTATGATGCCTGGGGTGCCTGTCCAATTGGGGTGCCTATTTGGGGGTACACTGGGTGCCCCATGGGATCTTTGTGGCACCCATCCAGGATGCCCAAGGTTCCCACCCAATTGAGGTCCTTACCTGGGGTGTGCCTGGTGCTCACCTGGGGTCCTTTGGGTGCCCATTTGGGATGGGTGGGGTTCCTACCCAACCAAGGGGTGCATTGGGTGCCCCGTGGGGTCCTTGGAGCAGCCATCTATGATGCCTGGGGTGCCTGTCCAATTGGGGTGCCTATTTGGGGGTACACTGGGTGCCCCATGGGATCTTTGTGGCACCCATCCAGGATGCCCAAGGTTCCCACCCAATTGAGGTCCTTACCTGGGGTGTGCCTGGTGCCCACCTGGGGTCCTTTGGGTGCCCACTTGGGCTGGATGGGGTCCCTACCTGACCATGGGGTGTGCCTGGTGCTCACCTGGGGTCCTTTGGGTGCCCATTTGGGATGGGTGGGGTCCCTACCCGACCATGGGGTGTGTTGGGTGCCCCTCTGGGATCTTTGGGGCACCCATCCATGACGCTTGCATCCCCAGAGCTCCAGGCCGCCGTGGAGGAGGTGCTGCCAGCCCTGAAACGTGACGGCATCCGCGTCTTCTACCTGAGCTCCACCTCGCCCACGCCGGGCGTCGAGGCCCTGCTGCCCCTCATCGAGGCGGCTTCCGATGAGCCCCCACCCGCCCACCACCGCGCCGGCATCACCGCCGACTCCAAGGCCATCTACATTTACACCTCCGGCACCACCGGTGAGGCTGTGGGGACAGAAACCCCCCAAGACGGGGGTGGTGGGGGTTGCTCCTTGGTGAATGGCGACTGGGAGGGTTTGGGTGCGATGGGTGAAGAGTCCAAGGAGGTCCTTCCCCATGGGTTGTGCGGGCGTGGCAGTGCACGCGATGGTGGGGAGGTTGGAGGGGTCCAACTGTCGTGGGTCCACCTGGGTCAGGTTCCTCCCGGTTGTGAACATGGGAGGGTTGGGGATCTCCAAGGATGGAGACCCACCACGTCCTTGGGTTTGTCCTTGTTGGGATGGGGCGGGGAATTGGACGTCCTTCATCCAACCCTGAACCCAAACCGGATCCCACCCCAACCAATCCAGGCGCATCTGGATGAGGTTTCTCACGGCTCCTCCCAGGTCTGGAGACCTCTAGGGATGGAGACCCAACCCCCCGAGGGAAGGGGTTTGACCTCCCATCCCACGTGAGCACCTCCAAGGAGACCATTTCCCACCTTCTTCTCCTACCCCTCCCCCCTCCAGGGCTGCCCAAGGCAGCGGTGATCACAGAGCTGAAGCTGATGATGGTTGCCAACCTGGGTCGGCTCTGTGGCCTACAGCCTGATGATGTTGTCTACACCACCTTACCGCTCTACCACTCAGCCGGGCTGCTCATCGGGGTGGGCGGGTGCTTCGAGGTCGGTACGTAACCCACCCCACCCCACCCCACCCATCGCCCCACATGGCCCGGCCAGCGTTGGGAGGGGGTACGGGCAAGGACAGGTGGAGAGAGGTGTTGGAGATGGATGGATGGACAGATGGACGGATGGATGGATGAATACGTGGGGAGGGGGGAAGAGGAAGAGCAAGGAAAAGGGGGTGTCCATGTAGACAACGGGTGACGGTGGAGGTGGGCGGACAGGACAGCTACTCGTGGAGATGGATGGAGAGGAAAAGGGGGAGGGGGGTCACCACCCTACGACGTCCCCACAGGTTCCACCAAGCCCAAATCCACCCCGGGGTGGGAGACAACGCCACTGGGCGCATGCACGCCCGCCCGCCCCAACGGTCCCTCCCTTCGTCACCCTCCACAGCGCGCCGGTGAGCGGGAGCACGGGGTGCGCATGGCCTTGGGCAACGGCCTACGGGCGGAGGTGTGGAAGGAGTTTCTCCAGCGCTTCGGACCCATCTCCATCTGGGAGTTTTATGGAGCCACCGAGGGCAACGCCGGCTTCATCAACTACACCGGGAAGGTTGGGGCCGTGGGCAGAGCCAACGTATTCCTCAAGGTGAGCCACTGGTGATGACGATGGTAGGGGGAGCGACCAATACCACACCTCAAGTTGGGCTGATGCCGATGGGGAGGGTGTCTCCAGGATACCCTCTCCATGGCAGTGCCAAACGGAGACCTCCTTGGAGAAGCCACCCGCCATCCATCCGGTTGGGTTGCTACAAAAAAGCAGGATCTCCAAGATGGCCATCCAAAAGGCGTCTCCTCCACCTGGTTGGCCAACGTTAACCCAACAGCGTTGACTCAAAGTCGGAGCGTCCATGGTGACCTGGGCATCTCCGTAACCCCAAGAAAGACCACGTTGGTGCCAATTCCCAACCCCCAACCACCCACGTGTCACTCGGCGTTGTCCCACCGGGCTTTGATTTGGAAGAGACCCCCATGACTTTGGTCGATGGTTGACTCTATTATAAATTAAATCATCTTTCGATACCAAGAGTGCTCAGGTCAGATGGAAAACAAGCGGCGTTTCTCTTCCACCCACCGCTTCGTTCTTCTTCTGCTCTCCAGAGTTTCGCTCCCTTCGAGCTGATCAAGTACAACGTGGAGGAGGACGAACCCGTACGTGACGAGCAAGGGCTTTGCATCCGAGCCCGCCCTGGTAAGACACGCCCCACCGAGGACTTTTTGGGGCGGAAAAAACGTGGGGGAAGACGCAGGGTTGAGACACATCTTGGCCCTTATCCCCACCATCTTGGTGGCTGGAAGCCACCAGAAACCCCTCAAAGAAACAGGGAACATCATCCCCCGAGCACTTGGTGGGGCGTGGAGGTGCCATTTTCCCAGCACTGAGGCAGTTGCTGACCGACCTGGGACCTTCTTGTCCCTCCTCGAAGGTGAGACAGGGTTGCTGGTCATTAAAATCACCAAGAACACCCCTTTCCACGGTTACGCCGGCGATTCCCAGAAAACGGAGAGGAAAGTCTTGAGGAATGTCTTGGTCAAAGGCGACGTCTTCTTCAACAGCGGTGACCTCCTCCTGATTGACCGCGAAAGATTCGTCTATTTCCAGGATCGTGTGGGAGATACTTTCCGGTAAAATCCGACCCTCTCGGACCCACGGCCGCATGGTGGCCGTGCCACCCGCCCACCCAAATCCCAACCCCCACCTCATGGCTTCATCCTTTCTCTTCCCCCCAGCTGGAAAGGTGAGAACGTGGCCACGACTGAGGTGGAGGCCACTCTTGCCATGGTGAACTTCATCCAGGAGGTCAACGTCTACGGGGTGTCCGTGCCGGGTGAGTACCGGCTGGCGAACGGGACCCAAATAAGAACCCGGTGACACTTCAACCATCTCGTGTGTCCCCCAAATGGTCTCGGTGGCCACCAAGAAGCCTAAAGTAGAACAAAATGGAAGGAACCTCCAACCATCATCTAGGTCCAACTGCCTGACCACCTCAGGACTCATTGACCCAAAATGATGAGCCTGGTATCGTTTTGGCTCACGACTACTGCCCCAATGGTCCAAAGAGCCACCAAGAAGAGCAAACCAGGACTAGGTTGCCCAAAAGAAGCTTCTAGTGGTGCTTGGGGCAAGTACCATGTCCACATCACAAGCCAACTGACCACCAAGAAGGTTAAAGTAGGACTTACTGACCCAAAGTAAGTCTCTGGCCTGGCTTTGGCGCACAATGGGCTCCTGTAAACACCCGGGTGGCCACCAGGAAGGCCAAATAGTCAACTTGGTTGCCCAAACCAAGTGTCCAGCATTGTTTTGGGCATGCAACGTGCCCCCGCAGTGGTCCAAGTAGCCACCGAGACAAGTACAATGGGACTCGGTTGCCCAAAAGCAGCATCGGGCGGTGGTTTGGGCAACTGACACATCTCCATGATGGTCCAGGTGGCCACCAGGAAGTGTGAAAGCGGCCTCAGTTGGCCCAAATAAGCGTCTGCTGTGGTTTTGGGCCCTTGACATGCCCCAATCATGGTCCCAGTGAGCCCCGAAATGGCTGAAGTGGGGCATGTCCACCCAAAATTGGTGTCCAACATCACTTTGGGCACGTAACAGCTCCCCATGATGGTCCAGGTGGCCACCAGGAAGAATGAATGGGGCCTCAGTTGGCCCAAATAAGCATCTGCTGTGGTTTTGGGGCCTTGATGTGCCCCAATTGTGGTCCCAGCGACCCCTGAGATGGCTGAAGTGGGGCACGTCCACCCAAAACCGGTGCCCAACGTCACTTTGGCCACGCAACAGCTCCCCGTAACGGTCCAAGCGGCTACCAAGAGTCCTGAAGCGTGACTCGGTTGCCCAAAATGACCCCCTGGGGCCTCGTTTGCAGGCTGCGAGGGGAGGTGCGGCATGGCGGCCATTCGCCTGAAGGCCGGGGCGACCTTCCAGGGCGAGACCCTCTACACCTTCACCAGGGACATGTTGCCCGCCTACGCCGCCCCCCGCTTCGTGCGCATCCAGGTCAGTGGCCCCGGC